TAATAAAGTGGTCATTTCACCCAGAGAGATCTCGTGTCCTCAAGTTCTTTCTAGGATTAGCTTCGTGGGTGACCCCCCCTTGATTGTTGTGCCCAGGTGCCGCCCTGGAGAAGCCGTTTCCTCCAGGGACGGACTGCGGTACTAACAGTATAATTTCCTCAATGACGGGTCTACAACAGGGGTGACACTACTACTGGATTGCTTGTGTGCACGCAGTGCAATAAAAATTGTTCTGAGCATACGCAGAAGTGAAAAACAAGATGGTGGCGGTTCAGGGCGTGGCCCAGGCTGCCAAGCCATTACCGATTTGGCCGAACCAGTCCAAACCGGTAGGAACCACCACTAGTCTACAATATATCTTAGGCACTCCTGCAGACAGATCTTTTTTCTACATGAATATTACACATGAATTTGCCTCTTTCTTTTCTCCTTTTCACCCATCATTCAAGACTTGTTTTTTATATTAACTGTTTTTAATATATTTAATATTTAATAATTACATGATTACTATGTAATTAAATTACCATGTAATTTAATCATAAAACATATTAAATACCAAAGTGAAGACGACTTGTGAATTATTATTATGATTTTGGTTGCAATTTCTTACAGCCAGTTCGGCCTTTATTTCCAATGAAAAAATGACTTGGTACACTAGATGGCATTGCTTCTTCACAGATTTCTGACAAAAATAGAAATGAGGTCAGATCGAGAATGAACGACCACCTAAGCTCTGAGTAATTCTGATACCAAGGTCAATTTCCAGTTAGAAAATCTTATATGAATTTTTAATCTTGCTCAGCTCTTTTAAAAAGTCCTTTATAATAATAAGTAAATGCTCTGTTCTACCCAAGTTTACTGTTTCTATCAATCAATTGTTTGTCAATTTAAAATAATTAATTGAATACAAATAGGTAATTGAATACATAATTCAATTATTTGGTTTGATATTCCTTCAGTGAGTTGGATCAGAATCATAATTATCCACTGGTGAAGAAAATAAGGTATAAAAATAGTTGCGGGGTGTTTGCCTGGTGAGGGAGGATTTTTAAAATAAACACTGTAATAGCATTGCCAAAAAGGCATTAAGAGTTGTTAACCTAATCTTGTGAAGCTTCGTGTCCTGTAATATTGTATTGCAAATTAGGGCACATAAAACCTTCGCTAGACCTATTGTCGAATACAGCTTATTTGTCTGGAACCACACTGCATATCAGATATTAATTCAATTGAGAGAACCCAGAGATACAGTATTTTTGGAGTATAAGACGCACCAGAGTACAAGACTCACCAAGGTTTGAAGAGGCAATTTTTTAAAAACAGGCCTGTTTTTTGTCAAAATAATTGCATGCACAGCCTTATGGAAGCTTAAAAAGTGCTGCTGGGAGCCGGGGGGGGGGCAAAAACAGGGTCTTTTGCTCATTTCTGCCCTCCCCAGCCCCCAGGAGGTCTCTGAAAGCCTCCATAAGTGTATGCACGGCCATTTTGGTGAAGGAGGCGAGGCTTTGGGAGGCAAAAAATGCGGTATTCAATATATAAGACACACCCAGATTTTCAGCCTCTTTTTTTGAGGAAAAAGATGTGTCTTATACTCTGAAAAATGCAGTATTTCATGAGAAGAGTCCTCCACTCCTCTGCTCACAACAGAATACCTTATGCCACCAGGTTTAAAATTTTGGGCTTAGACAATTTAGAACTACAGTGCCTTCAGTCCAGTGGTGGGTTTCAAAAATTGTTCGAACCTACTCTGTGGGTGTGGCCTCCTTTGTGGGCGTGGCTTGCCGCCCATGTGATCGAATGGGAGTGGCTTGCTGCCCATGTGACAGGATATGAAGATGCCGATGACACTTGTCAGAACCACCTTAAATTACCTCGCACAAAGCACTGGCATGCATAAGAATATGATGTAAACTTGTTTTTTAAAAGGCATCTTTGGTTTGCGTTAAAACAACTTCAACACACGCAATGTTCTGATTGCACCACAAATGCAGTAGTCATCCTTACCTTTCACAGAGGCACTGAGTTTTATAAATATGAGCATGATAGTGTAGAATAATCATATCCAAGGACCAGTGGTGGGTTTCAAAAAATTTTGGAACCTCTTCTGTAGGTGTGGCCTGCTTTCCGGGTCTACTGGTGGAACCTCTTCTAACCGGTTCGGTAGATTTGACGAACTGGTTCTACCGAATAGGTGCGAACTGGTAGGAACCCACCTCTGCTTCAGTCTGACCTAAGCATAGTACATAAAATTATCCACTACAATGTCCTACCTGTCAATGACTACTTCAGCTTCAACCACAACAATATAGGAGCTCACAATAGATACAAACTTAAAGTAAACCACCCAAACTCGATTGCAGAAAATACGACTTCAGTAACAGAGTGGTCAATGCCTGGAATGCACTACCTGACTCTGTGGTTTCATTCTCAAACCCCCACAACTTTAATCTCAGACTGTCTACTGTTGACCTCATCCCCTGTAAGGGGGTGTGCATAAGCGCACCAAGGTGCCTACCATCCCTGTCCTACTATCCACACTTATTCATATCCATTTCCTGTACTCATAATCATGTTTATACTTATATCTGTTATCTTATATATGCTTGACAAATAAATTAAATTAAATTAAATTAAAATTAAATTAAATTATAACAAACATAGCATCTCAGACTTTTGGCAATGATGAATGTAGAATGTTTAATGAAAGGCATATTAATTGTGTCTCAAATTCCCCAATAGCACCATACCAAGAATATGATACAGATGTTATTCAGCCCTTT